AGTATGTATTTTTTAACCTAGATTTGACTTGAGTTACATAACTACTCTAGACATCGTGGTTTTTGATAGAAAAGTGGTATCATGAACTGGTTGTTTGCTTTGGGTTAGCTGGGCCTTATGACCTCCAACATGTTATTTCTCCACAACTTGAGTGAATTTTCTTACACTGAAAAGCTTAGCAGTGTGTCCTGGTGTGGATAATCTGATGTTTACTGAAAGGTAGGGAGTTTCAGTTTTACTAAAAGGTAGCGAGTACTACCCATGCATATGAGTAGTACCAGTGACTTTTACTTTTTTTTCACCATTCTTTATTCCATTGTGGAATGGTTGCCCCTTTGTGATAACATCTTTATACTTCTTTACCTTATGCCTCCATTTTTTTCCCTTACATTTTTCTCTCTGAGACCCTTTTTTGATTTTTTTTTTTTTTTTTTTTTTTTTTTTTTTTTTTTTTTTTACTTCCTGCTGACATTTAGGAAAAACCAGCAGAAAATAGGTCCTCTATTTGTCCATATTAATTGACACTTCTATGGCCTCTCTGCTTACCTTTTGCCAACTTTCTTAACTGAAAAAAAAATTGTCAAAGGCAAAAAATTGTACTAACTCAAACCTAAATGTATTTCTATGAGAATGTGCATCAGGATCATTTGGGTGACCATCTTGAAATCTTTCTGTGGATTTTTGAATGTTCCAGAGACCAGGAGTTACCACCAGGTGGAAAACTGCAGCCTGAATGGCATACTACAAATATTCAAGGCTTACATTAGAGCAGATAGTTCAGAGCAAGCCATTATCTGAATGAATGCACTTAAAGTGTGTAGTGAATTGTAAAAGAATGTGATAAAATATAAGTTTGGTTGCACATTATTTGAGAATAGAAAATGGGGCCAAAACTGTCAAACAAGAAGCTTGTTGTGAATGGTTCAGGCAGTATTAGTCTTCTTTTAGGTGGAATGTGACCCTGCTAACCCTGAAGTGTGAGTTAGACCTTTGATGTTCAAGGGGATTCAGAATTAGGCAGAGTTCATCCAGCCTGAGATGGTAGTGTGTAAGTGACTGGTGCAAGCTCTCCCTTTCAGTCAAAACAGGCCTGGTTTGTAATCAACTTTGAAACCGAGCACTAGGTCTAGTAGAATACTTTGAAGATCTGGGCAAGAGGTGGCAAGACATCTGTTCCTTTAAAACTAAAAAAAAATGATGAAGATAAGAAGGAAGGAAAATGGAGGAGAAGTGGTAGAGATAACAGGGAAGAGAAATTACTCTTTTCTCCCATCTTCTCCTTTGTTTTTGAATAAGTAATTAACATATATTGAACTATTGCTGTCATAATTATCATGTTAGCATTTACTGTGCTGGACCATTTAGCAAGGAAGAAAATACCTCTGTCTCTTACATGTTTTGATTTGACAACTCAGTGAAAGAAAAACAGGGTTTTTTGCAGGAAACGTGAATGTTGTAGGGAAGATGTCTTGATCACAGGTGAAAAGCATAATTTCTCCAGTTTTGGCCTTTTAGATTCAGTGTAATCTCAGTAGAGTTCACATCTGCAGGATGTCCCTGGATGTGAGAATTTCCATTGGATAGGTACAGCTACATAATAAACAAGTTGATGTGATCAGACTGGACACCTGAATAGGCACAGGAAGAATACAACCGATATTTCTTTTGAAGCAAGTAGGCACTTAATGCTCATTGTGAATGAAAATCACCTCTGTACAAATAGCCAGCAAAAAGCCCTATGTATCCTCTCCCCGGAACTACAATTTAAGTGCTGAAAACTGGGCGTATTTAAGGTTGAAAGGGAGTGTCTATATGGTCCATCTATGTCAGGAAAGACTTTTATGAAAACAACAGGTCTTTGTCCCTAATGAAATCTGATGGAAATGGTCTTTATTCATGGAACATGCCCTGGAAACAGAAGGAGGAAACTCTTCTCTGCATTGGCAACATGGTGAAAACCAAATTGCAGTTGTGTTGTGGTTGTTAGAAACACAGGTACCAATTTAATCAGCAAACACTGTCCTGCAATTTGGGTCAGTATTTTTCCAGGAATGTAAAGCCATTCATCATGTCCCCGCAAGCTTTCTTATTTTTTCTCCCCATATATAGCCCTGGATTATTTTTGTCTGCCATAGTAATTTTTATTGGAACACATTAAACAAAGCTAAAATCAGTAAATGAAAATTATTAAAACTGATTTGTATTTGACAAAAATACAAATGTATTATATTTTTTCCCCAAAATGTCAAATTATTGAACTGTAGTGTTGTTTAGGAGGAAACAGCTTCCCTCATTACTCAGCTAAGAGCGTACAAGGTCATTCAGTTAGAAATAGTGTAATTTCCTGTACTTTACTAAATCTTGTCTTGTGAAGGTAGAAAAACAAAAGTATCGAAAAGCCTCTATGATATATACTGCATACTGTGTTTTCTGATCCTTGGAAAGAGCAGTTATCTCTGCCCTCTCCTTGTTCTCAAGCCTAAGTAATGTATTACCCACTGCTACTCTTATCAGATGGCTTCTTCCTGGAATGAGCTAGTCCTGTTTCAAGAACAAATTTTTGTGCTGGATAAGGTCAAGTGGAATAAGTTTTTGATGACCAAATTTTGATCTTGCTTAATTGTAAATCATGAGAAAGTGTACTGCTTTTTATCAATGGGAGTCCTTAATTGGACCCCAGGTCTCCAATGATTGCTTTGTAATGTCACAAATCATCCATAATCCACTTCGGAGGTCACAGAAATCTTCCTATGTTCTGTTCTGACATTGTTTCTTTCTAACTTTGTGCTTTATATAATTACAACAGAATAACACGCTTGGGGCACCTTTCATTTTTTGTCCTGTAAGAGGCTAATAAACCATTAGTGGTATTTTACAACATGGTGAGTGCTATTTTGCAGTGTTTCATTAGCCACAAACCCACAAGTCACCTTCAGGAATTCCAGATGACAGACTGAAGGTATTTTTGCAGCTGTTCTATGGGAGCTCATGAAAGTCTTGTTCCCTTTAAAGAAGGGAAAAAAAAAAAAAAAGAAAGAAGACCTTTTTATGTATCAGTCCTTTTGACAATCCTTCTATAAAGCAAGAAGACTCATCTCCATTACAGCTGAGTACTGTGCATTTTATCCATATGCCTGTGGATAGTTCAAATACCATCTCTCTTGTGAAATACTTTTGCTATAGCATTGAATGAAGTGAATGCCTTTGAATAGGATACAATATACTCCAAAATGCTTTGAATGGCTGTTCACTTAATAAAATATTGCCTAAAGCGTTGCTATCTTCTGACTATTATATGGTGTTTCATGAGTTGACTTTTAAATTGAATTCCCTGCCATCTTTATGTACCGGAGAACATCTTGAAAAAATCAAGCTACAAATAGTGACTGTTTTCTAAAGGTCAAAGAAATTGTAAGGGGGAAAAAAAAATCTTTTCTGAAAAGAAATATTCAGGAAGCCCTGAATATTTATATACTGATATCATCTTTAGACCTCCAGGGTGTTTCAGAGTACAGACAGCTACAGTTTTTAATAAAAATGTTTTCCAAACTGAATTTCATTTCTCATTTCAGATATATAAAAAAAGATTAGTTTCCTGACTCATACTTCTTTGTTTGAGTTTTAACAGTTAATGTCTGGTCCTTTTCCAAAACAATTTTCTGTCCATTTTGAAAGTGCTAAGGCTTGGGAAATAGAACTGCCAAGGACTGTTTGGAAAAACATATGCTAAAGACTTGACTACAAGGCAGTGGAAGGGGTTGGAAGGTTCATTTGAAATTACCTCTGTTCACATGACAATATTTTAGCATGTATTAGCTGGTAAGATAATGCACATTCTATACTGCTATTTTAAAAATGCAGTTGGTTTACTGAGTATTAAGTCAGTGTGCATATGTCTGTGTTTGTTCTCCATTTTTCATCCTTACCAGGATGCACCCAGAGTGTACTTTTCATCTGCCTGTGTAAGTGCTAGTCCTGCTCAGGATCCATCTGTGCACTATATTGCTGTACCGTATTTTCTTTTTTTCTACACCTGCCCTGAGACATGAAGAGGAACTGCCTCTGCTTGCCATCTGGGAAGAACAGAAGGATCAGAAAATCCATGAAATGAAATATTGCCACAAACATAGTTAATGTACTCTGACAGCCATCAAAAACTGTCTGGAGTGCAATGGGAAAGGATATCTTTCTCTTTATAAAGAGTACAAAGGCTAGGTGAAGGACCAAAGGATATGAAGTCCTTGAATGACATCCAATGCAGAGAGATGCAAGTAGTCATGGCCTTCAGTAACCCTCCAAGCACTGGCAAGCCATGTGAAATAGGGTATGAGACAAGACAGACAACAATTGTGTGGTAGTGAACACAACAAAAGCCTGACAGCCCACATCAGATCGATTCTCTTCTGACTGGCAGTGAGATATTGGATTTGCAAACGGAAGCAGCCGTGCTTCTGCATGGCCACAGGAGAACTGTCCCTGTGCTCACCTGAGTGGATTGTACACAGTTACTTGGTAGGTGGCATGGGAGCTGGCTTGCACAACCAAAGCTGTATGGTAGCCACCATGTAGGTGCAGTTGCTGTCATCATGGAATGGAGCATAAATTGTGCCATAAACTGTAGGGGATTTGTGACTTTGAACCCAGTTCGCACACTATCAATTGCTGTCTATCTTCTAGATTGTCCATAATAACTTGCCAGGAAAGACCCCAGATAATGGGGGGGTCCATAGTAGGACATAGAGGTATTGAATACACAGTCTGTTTGCTGAGGGCTGAGTACAAAGGCAGAAGAATAGATGGTTACCTTGTGCCTGTAGTTACATAAATATCTTACCATCTAGTATGGAGTAGTTAGGGTGACCAAGACAGCCTCTAAATGTAACCTAGACAAGCTCCATATGAACCACATGTGCACGTTGTGCACACACCATGGTCCCAGCAAAACAGACTCTGTAGCTTCATGAAGTGGCAATGTGCATGTAAGGAAAGGGGAGAGAGACCCTTCAGGGACTCTGCAGTTTGTGCAGTCCCCAGAGAGCACAGGTTAGTGGAATTCTATTTCCAGGACTTCCAGGCTTTGTGTGCACCTGTGCAGGCATATAGGAAGACTAGGATATTTTGGATCACAATCAAAAACTGGAGAAAATAACTTGAGGGTGATGGAAGCTTTGTTACTTCTGTGTTTAAATCCTAGACTAGGCAAATAGGTAAAAAGGCTCAATTTCAAAAAGATGAGTTGCCTGTTTGCATTTTGGCCCAAAAGAATGGGACTAGAGAGGTTTTTACACACCATGGCAGTTTTTCCTGGGCATTTATTAAACTTGGGTTTGAAGAGAAGCAGTGAAAAAGAAATGATTTATCAAACGGAGTCTATACAACAAATTAACCTTGAAGGAAGAAGTTTCTGTCTGCCTTGAAGTAGATGGTATGTGGAGGAGTTCACACAAAGGATTCCTTCATGGGTTCTTCATCCTGGCAGTGAGGAAACAAAGCAGGGAAGGAATGCCAAACCCTCCTGTCTGTCCTTCCAAACAAAGAAATTATGTAAATGAAAGGAGAGCTTGTGCTAGCTGAAATCCCTGTGTGCTGCTGCCTTAGGTTCTCATAAAGTGGGGCTCAATTGTAGCATTCCAGATCCATGCACAGGTTTGGCAGATAAAATCACATCATGATTTGTGACTCCTGAAAACAAACTAATGAATGCAATAAAGCTTTCTGTTTGCTCTCTGAGAGAGGAGATAAGAGAGAGGGAGAGAGGAGTGAAGGAGAGGGAGGACCAGGGTTCATTGCAGTGTTCTGGTTTGGTACCTATATACTGTTCAACTTCTCAGTCTTCACTTCCCCAGCCCCTGACTTCCGAGCTCCTCAGCCGCTTTTCTTATCCTTCCTCTCCAGTCACTTCAAGATCTACCATGCCCTCCATACTCTCTTTCAACTTGCACAACCTGTGCCACTCTCACTTTCCCATTGTATTTCTTTGTGTACAACACACTCATTAAAGAATAAATGTACCATACATGCCATATCAGTATATTAATTTGTAGGCCTTGCTCCTTTTCTTTTACAGTCCCTCTTTCCTCTTTTGTTGTCAATTAAAGAGATAAAAAAAAATTCCTCAAGGAAGTGTTCTGTTGTATTGTTTTCTCTCCACATGGTCCATAGCAAAGTATCCAGTGTGGGACGTGAAAAGAATGCAGAAGAATGATGGGCCATTATAATAAGCTCTGATTAAATTAAATAGATACAAATCACACTCTAGGCAAAGCTGGAATCTGGCGTTCTTAGCATCTATCTCCTGTTCCACATTTCATAGGCAGATGTGTTAATACACCTATAGTTTCCGTATGTTTCCCATTAAGGCCCCTTATGGTCACTTCTAAGTTTGCCAGATTGTTTTAACTGTGCAGGCTATAAGTTTTCCATTCTGGATATCTACTTCAAGTTGAATTTACATGAGCTTTAGAGGAAATAAAGTATGCTATTCATTAATTTCTTTTAGTTGACTCTTCAATCCTACAATTTGAAGCAAGCCTTTGGATTTTGTGGTAAAAAAGAAGAGGGCATGTTGGCTTCATGCCAGAATGTGTCCTTTGCTTAATTGTGTTGGGTGGGGAAAACACTCTTCACATACTTGGCCATGTTTTGGATTGGTTTGACTTTAAATAATTCAGCAGAAATTTAAGAATTAAGCAGACATTTTGCCACAGTTGTTCTCTGCTGAGCATGGCCCACAGCAGACCGGCAGGCACTGGGTACAATTTTTTTTTCTCATTTTGTTCTTCTGGGTCTTTCTTTGGCTCCTTTGGGTTGGGAGTTGTAGTAAAAGAAGGTCTGGTTTCCCAGTTAAGGCAGATGAGAGCTTCTTCAGCAATTGGATTGTTTCTCTACATCTACCAGACCACTAGTTGAGTTGATCTCTTCTTATACGTCTATTAGCTACATATTTTCCTGCCCATCCAGGAATGTATCTGCAGACAGGTTTGCAGAATGGCTGAGATCTGACGAGAGTGAGTGAGGCTGGTTGCAGATGCCCCATACATGCAGTATGCAGTCAGTTTCTAGGTATACCAAAAAGTCAAATGCCAGCAACTTGTTTCTGACAAGTCTGGTGTTCCTTTTCAGTATTTCACACTCCCAGGCTGTAGGGTGTGAATAGAGAGCACTGAACCAGCAAGTGGTCTTACAAAGGCATGGTGATACCATCCCTATAGCAGCCAGGAGGAACATGCAGTGCAGAGCTTAAGTACATCATGTCAAATAAATTGGAGGCCCATGCGAAAAATGAGAAGACCAAAAAGAAATAAAGAATAACCATCTGCTTACTGAATGAAGGACAGCTTGCATGTGTCAGAGGGAGGTTTGTGTGGATATGTGGTACCATATATAATATGGATTGGACAAATGATATTAGGACTGGGAAATCTTGTAATGTCTTATTCCTTATTCTTGAGAGAGCTTGACCTTCCAGCCTGAACAATCTTTTGACACAGGTGTTTAAGAATGTAGAAGGCATGTATAGGCTGTGGCAGCTCAGTTTCATTAGCATAAGTTTGGGGTTTGCTGCTTCCACCATATATGTTATATAAAAACTCTTCTAAAATACTGTGGAACTTTGAAAAACATTTTTGGGAGACTGTTCCTTGTGTCTCTTGGGCTGTTAAGCAAAGTGTCTTGACTGCCATGAGGAGGAGAAGAATTAAAACTAGTACTTTTAGTACACATCTAAAATAATTTAAGATCACTTCCATGAATACTGTTTTAAAAGTCCAGCATCTCAGACTCTACATTTCAGTGAGTTGGTCTGCTGGGAAGCTGCTAAGGTTCTTCCTGTTTCACTGACTAGGACAATATACACATACGGTTTTAAAACCAGGACAGTTTCATAATTTTCAGAGTTAATCTTGCCTGTCCTGGACCTCATGCGGTATAATTTCCAAGGAAATTCCACTTCTTTGGTGGGGGGAGGGAGGAAATACTTCCATGGCAGGTTGGCTTTAAAATATAAATGGTGCTGTTTGAAGCAGCTTAAGAGCTAGGAATGCCAGACTGAATCGGGGAGATTGATTAATGGGCAGGTGATGCAATTGTAGTGATAAATTGCTTGGATATTTCTTTATCAAATGCCCTGCAGTACAATATGTCACACTATTATCACACACATATATGGGCAGATGTCTTGGGGCAGATCCTCAGCAGGCATAAATTAACTGAGTTCTCTCAAAGTCCCTTTAATTCCTGGAGCTTTGCCATTTTGTACCACTTAAGGACTTGGCCCCTTTTTCTCTATCTGTGTTCACTAAGCTGCAGACCAAACTGATGATTATTCATCTTAGTAAGTGTTGCAAGTTTCTGGCTCTTATTTGCTAATGAAAAAAAAATGTTCTAACATGAAACTGGGCATAGATCCCAGTTTTCAGTCATACTCTCCATTAAAAGATGAAGGATGTGGCATACATCACCTGAGAAGCATAAATCAAATAGTAATAGTGCTGTTGTTTTCTTAAAGAACTCAGGGAAGGACTTAATTGCATTCACATCTTCTACTGCATCTAGCCTGATGTCCTGCGTCAGTTGCATTAAGATTGAGAAATCCTTACCAGGGATACAACGCACACAATGGTTACAGTCACTGATGTAATACTGGCGCCAGTAAGCTTTATTTTATTTAAAAAAATACTACTTTCCATGTACTTTAAAATAGTATAGACATAAAATATTTAAAAAAAAACAGAAGCTCTGTCTGTGTAATTTGATGCTGAGCCTTAGCAAACCAGGCAAAGTTCCAAATATTTTTCCCTGCTTAAATGGTTTAAAATATGTTTCCAAGGGTGATTTGGCTGGAGAGGCAACCACTGGGGAATTACAAGCTGAAAAGTTTTATTTTTTGTGAAGATCTGTGTTTCTGTGAAGAAACCACAACTGCTTTTAGGGCTGGCCAGGATCCAGAAGTAAGGTATGCTCAAAAAACATTCGCTCAAGTGAAGTCTCATTAATGAAGCTGAGAGCATAAAACATTTTTCTTGAAAGAAAGACACAGAGATAAGTCCATTGCAAACAGAATACCTCAACTAGTATTTCAAGCCCCTGTCCTGTGAAGACTTCTGCCCACATTTTCCATAACTTGCTTCCCACTCACACCAAATTTTTTCATCACTGAAATGAAGGGAGTTGTCCTTGTATAAGCATTTGCCAGACTAGGGCCTCCCTTTGTACTTAATTGGTGTTTGACATATTCAAGAGGAAATCAGATCAACTAGAGACATAAGTAACTCATAATTTTGCATTGCCAGGGGAAGTTTAATTTACAAGCTTGTTATACTCATAGCCAAATGTTACTTCTGGCAAAAAGAATGTTTACAGTGTTGTTGTTTGGACAAATTACAACTATTTTTTCTTCAGGGCCTGGTCCACGCACCCCTGGAATGCAGAGAAGACTATCACTGCTTTCCAGAGCAGAGACCCTCTCTCTGCCGGCATGTGGATGTGTAACAACAATCTGACATTTTGGAGGAGTTTGCTCTTGGGAAGCTTGTGAGCAACCCATTTGGGCTATCTTCTCTACATGTCAGGTAGAACCTACACTATTTGTTTCAGTGCCTGGGCTAAGATCTTGGCAGAACTAGGCACATCAGTCCTATCTGTGTGTTAAGGCTTCTTCTCTGCACGCGTCACCTTCCTTCTTGTGCTGGACACGTTTTCTTAATATGCCCAAATCTAGACTGCAGCACATATCACCTTGCTCCCATTAAAAAAAAAAACAAAAAAACAAAAAAACATTACAAACTAAAGCAGAAATTGCATCCCATATATGCCCAGGGGACATCAGCTTGGAGCACCTGATCATCTCTGACAGTTATGTCCAGAGAACTTCTCTGGTCATTCTTGCTCAGAAATATTCCCACACTTGTGGTCAGGCCTTTTTCACAATAGCCTGGTGGTTAAAGAGTTTGCACAGGAGCATGCACCTTCTTGTTGGCTATTTCTCTGGCCTCATTAATCTGGGATTCCTCTCTGCATGATGGTGCAGCTTCAACAGGGAAGGTGGCAATGACCTCTTCAGAAACACCTGGTAGCAGAGTTTTCTTGGTAGGTCAGAACTGCAGGGTTTTCATCAGTGT